CATAGACAGTGGGTGTAGCAATCTGACCTCCTCTTCATTCACCACAGAGCTCAAGTCTAACTCTGTTAACCTGATCACACACTCGTATGACTCCAGAGACAGAGATACACCTCTACATTGGCATATTTAATCAAGGTGATATAAGTTTAAAGAAAGAAAGAAAGTAGAGGAAGAGATATTTGTGCTCAAGATATTTTTGCTCTAGCTATCCTGTGGTTGTAGAGTTAGACAATGCAATAACAGCATAAAACCAGAGAGCTTTATCTTATCTGAGCCCGGTGCCTTGCTGTTAATTAATAAACCAAATGAATAGATTTCCATGGATCTCATTTCAGGCACGTGCTTGTACACTATGTGTGTGCTTTTGCGCTTGTGCTGCACATGTATACAGGATAGAGATGCATCTTTTATTCATGCCACTGTGACTTGCAGGAGCCATCTTGAAATTACATCTTTAATGGTCATTGATCCACTTCACCCCAGGGAGCTGGATAGTATAAATGTAGTCCCAACACAGACTTTGTAAGTAGTGTGCAAGGTTGTCTTACACTGCCGAAATGAGTGAAAATGTATTTTCTTGTAACTCGAAAACTTCTTTAAATTCCTGAAGTTAATTCTTATTTTCGTGCTCACAATGTCACTCAGAGTCCCATCCACTTCAACGTCATCTTCTTTGATAATAAGCTGCAGGAGCTATTGCCTCTTCACTTCTCTCAATAGCTCTTTGCAGAGCACACCTTAGAATAATGATGGCCACCTTATTCTGCTCTCACATGCAGTAGTCAAGGACAATTACCTATAAATAAAGGAGTAGCCAGCACTATTTCAAAAGGTTGTTCAGTGGCTGTTCAACTCTTCAGTGAACGGGCAAACTTGAGTGATAGTGTACTAAAAAGTCAGCAGACGACGACCTAAAATAGTGCGAGCTATATCTGCAGTAATAGTTCCTTGTCCTTGAATAACAAGTTTGACAACAGAATAGGGATGTGACCGCAAGCGAATTTGAATCAAATCTTTGTGTTCTTTTCCCTTAAGCCCCCTTGGAATAGAGTTATCGCGTAACATGATGAAGCAATAACCTCTACAGTTTAGGTCAGAGAGTATGATAATACAAGTCCGATAGCGAACATCCCCACCCTTATTTGAAATAAATATTCATTTCATCTCTGCCTTGCTTGGTCACCACACAGCTCCCTCTGGTTCAGTGGTGTGTAAACAAGTGCTACATGTGGTGATATTGGCATAGGTCTCTCTGGGTTACGGTGTGTAACTGAGATAGAAATATATCATTACTGGGTGGGGACTGGGGGATCTGAGGGACAAAGAGACTGAGAAATAAGAATATTGGATTCTGTTCCACACACACAAGCTTATGTCCTTACATGCGGGCTGTCTGCTCCATCTGTCTGTTTTGCTCTCACAGACACACACATACGCAGATACACACACAGACACTTAGCATAGGGTGTCCGTTAACTGCATGCGAATGGGTGATGGACTGCTCCAGTGGCTCCGCCGGTAATATAATCTTCTCTATTCCCCCAGATCCCACACCAATATGTCACAATTGTCATTTATTCCCAGCATGGTCACCCACAATCAGATGGCTTTTCACATTGAACACACCCTGATCCTGTCAGGATGATGAACACTTCAAGTGCACTGACACACACCTACACATGCATACATACATTGTGTATTATCATGTGTCACTCTTTGTGTTCATGTTTATTTATTTCGTCAGTTTTAAAAAGAAAGTCAGGCCACAAGAGAGTGGCTTGTACATTTACACACAAATACATAGTGCGTTGGCGTCATGTATAACAACTCAGACTGACTGTGTCCAGATAATAATTCACAGCTCCTTATAACTATGAGAAAGTGGATCAATTAGTGGCAGAAATGCATTTATGGTGTGACAAAGAATAACTAAATGTGTCAAAGTGTACGTGTCAATCATAATCTCAAGAATAGATTTTTTTCCTCCTGAACTAAAAATGTCCTGAATACGTCTGACAAATGGATCACACTGAACGATATACTGCTAATTAAAATAAGACACCTACTTGTCAGGAAAGACAGAGTATTAATCAAAGGATCAACATTTCCTTCACCTTTGAAACCAACAGCATAACCAACATTTATACATACTTTTCTTAGTTTATTTATTATTATTTCTATGGGTAAAAAAAAGATAATGTGACAGCTGCTAATGGAAACATGTAAGGTTCATGGATTTGATTTGATTAGAGGTGAACTTCTGCAATGTTAAAAATCCGATTTGGAATTTGTCTTCACAAACACACTTTTTTTTTAGCATAAAGGATGTTCTGAGGAAGTCCGGAGAAGCGTGATGACACAGATTCAATATCATCTCCTAACTACAGTTAATTAAATGGAAAGATACCATGATATCTGCTTAAAACTGTGTGGAAAACCAGCATTGATTTGGGCTTATCTGCTTGCTTATCTGGACCCTGGGAAACCCTAATGCGAGATAACAGGCTGAGATGTCTGGGCTTAAGCTTGGGTAAAAAGGGTGTGACGGCAGATGGTGAGAGAGCTTTTTGGTGAATTCAGTGAGGGCCGAAAACATCACCTCCGATCGAAATTCTTGACGAGTCCAAAAGCAGATCTGACAAGGATCTTCTAATCTGACATTTGTATAAAGTCTCAAGGTTCTGCTTTCTGTTCTGGGACAATGTTACCAACATGTCCTTTACAAAGAGAAAAATGACTACATAATGCTGATGTTATTTTTTCGTTTCGCTACATAAATAATTATATGTATAATATGTATAAAACTGTTTTCCTAGTTTCAACAGTGTTGGAAGTTATATTCATTGCAGAATACGTTTACACAGGGGGCAAACCTGAGCACACTATCTGTGTCCTTTCTGGGCAAAGGACTACAACCTTGTTGCAGTGAATAATAATACTGATATAAAATTGTACAAGGCCCAAATTAAAGATAGTAGTGTGCCAAGTTGAGGAGAGAATTATAGCATCTGACCTTAATAAGAAAGCATATCCTCTTGAGACTACCTTCACTTCAAACCACCAAGGATATCTCTGGGACTACCTGTTAACTTTCTGTGGTAAATTAAAAGAACATTATGTCCTGGCTATGTTTCCATTTGCCTTACAGGGAGCTCTTCTCTTAGTAGTGGGCCACTGGGAGAAGCAATAATCACCCGCAGAGACACAATAAGCCTGTAAGGAAAAAATACTCACTCTGCTAATTAGCATGTACCCTTTTTCTATAAGCCTCAGAAGGGCAACAAGAGGAAATATAAAGTGGAGTGACAAACTACTATAATACACTAGTTAGATTACAAAAAATAAAACAAACAAACAAAAACTCCAAATAATATGCAACTTGGGGATCTACTCATAAACATAGAATTTAATAAGTGAAAGATAAAAGTGTGATAATGGTTAGAGAGAGTAAAAGGAGCATTCTGTTATATTTTAATAAATTATGTGCAAAACATAAGGTTTTGTCAGTGCATGAGAATAAGCATAGGAAGTCTATTGGCAGTTAGCATGCTGGTTGTTGTTACCAGGTGATATTACAGTGTGTTCTCATAGAAACTTGTATTGCAAAAGTTCTATAAAAATACTATATTAAAAATATTGTAAAACACACTGTACATTCATTTAGGAACTGGAATAAATGTGCGCCAGATAGAAGGGAGGCCTCGTCAATTTTGATACCTGAAAAGCAAAAAAAATAAAAATAATAAAAATAATAAAAAACCCTGATAGCTGAAACAGAAAGCATTAATATGCAAAGTTAATAAGCAAAAATCATGCACGCTTTGGCAAAAATGATTTTTGTGGTTTATTAATCCTTTGTATGAGCAGGGAAATGAACTCTGTGAAGTGTCTGTGTGTTTCGCATTCCAAATGCGATTTTATTTTATGTTTTTCTACATTTAATTGGACATTTAGGATGTGCAACACCTGGCTGCTTGTTATTCTCACTACTGAGGTTCAGTGATCTGTTGGGTTATACAAAGATTTTGAAAGTTTATTTCCAAACCTGCAATGCTTTTTGCCAGTTTAAAAAAAAAAAAAAGAAGAAAAAAGTGATTCTCAATCTTATCTGTTTGTTTGCACTTGCAGTCATTTAAATTAGAGAACAGTGATTTGCATTTTGTTATCTGCCTTTAATCTGCTTTGTGAAACAGCATAGAGACCTTGGTAAAAGTTACGCAACTGTGCAGTTGATCTGTGACAGTCGGTCCCAGTGGGTTCTGCATTTTATTTGATACAGAACCGCATCTGTTTCTCTATTCCTGAAGAACCTCATTTCATCATTTCATGTCACTAGCTCTCTTTTCTTCAATATTCTCTCTCTCTCTCTTGCTCTCCTGTTCAAACAATTACAAAGCGGATGGTTCATCAAGTAGAACAGAGCAGGAGCAGGGTGGAAATGAGGTGTGTAGTCCAGTCAGTGTGATTTAGAACAGCCCTCTGATAACAAGGGAGGTTAATGTATCGGTCTCAGGCCAGAGGACACATGCTGAATCTGCTCTATTAGAAACAACTTGTTCGGAACAAAAATACACTGTTGAGACATCCACTGCAGCAGTTTCATGGTGCCAGTTTTATGAAAAAGACTTTCTGACCATTTTCAAAGCATTTTAAAAAGGCCCATTTTTCTGGCATGTTTGTGCTCTGTTTGTTTATTACACAGCGTCGTCTAAGCCATGCTGAAATGTGATAATCAATACTTTTTAGTATCTGACAACACAGTGGAGATGGGGATGACTCCCTAGAGAGAACAGTTACAATTGTGGGCCTAACTGAGCAGTTCATTGCAAAATGAAACTATAGTTCGATATCAGAAAGTAAATAATTATTACTGTAACGACATGGCTAATAGCACAGCATCATTATCTTTTTAAAACTATAATAAGTAACTAAACTGCTTCATTGAGAAAATGTTAGGAATAGCACGATCTGATGTAAATGCATATACAGATATCACATACCTTTGATCTCCTTTTCATTCCTGAACCAGCGCAGGTCGGCGGCAGGCTTGCTGCCCTGAGTGATGCAGGTCAGAGTGATGTGGTCTCCCTCCATGGCAGGCTTCATCAGGCCATCGATCTCTGGCTTCTCTGGCACACCTGAAGGATGGATGAAATCACCATGATGGAACTAATTCACACACAGCTGTATGTCATTATGCAACAATAATATTATAATATTATTCCTTATTGAAAGTTCTCCTCCAGCTCACGCCCCTGTGGGGAGATTAGAGAGCAGACTGCAGAGCGGCATCCCTGAGCAGTGTCCTGCTGGTGAACACATCGGGGAGAATTCATGCTGGCACATCGTTGGATGGTCTCTAACAACTGGGCCATCTCCTGCTTTAAGGGTCGGTTCACCCAAATTACAAAGAAACATTTTTCTCACATACATCTAATGCGGGGGCTTTTCAAAGTATGTTATTTGATCCCATAGACATTCAACAATTGAGCCAAGATAGCCTAATATTGCTGTTTGACACTTCAAATACAGAAAAAGGTCTATCTTAAGGCATTTATTAATTTCTGACTCTGGGAAAGTGAGAAAAACAGAAGAATCCGCCTCTGAACTAGCTCTTTAACCAAATCAAACACATTTAGGCTACTCTATGTGATCTCCTTTTGATAACCAATGTAATAACTAAAGTCATATTTTTTCATTTCCATTCACTGAACCTCCCCTGAAACAGTTCGGAGCCCCCTGCGGAGGCCCCCCTCCCATATCTAGCCATGCAGATATAGTTATGATTTTCTTTGACTGTAATGTGAGATATCTGTCTTCCCCCCTCAACTCAGAAACAATGGAGGTGAATAAAGCTTTCTTTGTGATGCTCACAGAATTGACAAATTACATTTAGAAGTTTTCACTTGAACTATTTTCTACCAAAGAAATGGTAGCTGTGATGACAGAAAGCAAAATAAATAATACATAAATAAATGGCTAAAGAGCAGAAGTATAAGTTGTTTTTACCCATGTGTACATGTGAGTAAGCAAAGGTTTGGGACCACAGAGGAGGCCACAAGGTTGTACAGAAAATGTTCATTACTGGCCCTTCCTATAATGAGTGTTTTAAGTGTGTAGTGTCTGCCCTTCTAATGTCAATGAGCAATAAGGATGCCTCAGGCTGAGTGACTGAAAGGTCTGTCAGTCAATACAATTGACTGACTCTGGCCTTGTCTGTCTTACCACCTCCTGTAAGGTTTATTACCAGACTTAAAGGTCTTCCTGTTTTCTGTTTACCAGACTTTTGCATACACAACCCTAACAATAGCTGCTGCTTGGTAGACACAGTCAGTGTTGGATAAATAACTGAAAAATAATAATTACTTACAGTTAATAGATTCTTATCTCAAAAGTAAAAAGTAAGGGACTGTCAGCTATATTATTTTAGCGTTGCTGTGGGACAAGACAAATGTATCTATTATTAATACTCCCAGTCACCAGAGGGCATTATAGACTTATTGTCTTGGTTAGTAGACAGGCGGTTTTAGTAGAATAACCCACATGAATATACACATTAACAGAGCTTTGCTACAGTATTTAGTTAATACTTAATTATATTTAATGAACGGAAAGCAATAACTGTCTGGGGCCACCGTAAGGTCGGGTGACGCAAACCCGAAAATCAACCGGATACACTTGAGTGGGCTGATTTTCTTCTGGATTTGTCCTTCATTTTAAAACGTAATTAGTTACATTACTATTTACTAACCTTATTGCCAAAGGAAGTGGAATTACACGAAAAACGTAATTTCATAATGAGTTCGATGCATGGTTATCAGGTGTGTAAAGTGTCACTATATCTAACTAAATACTGTGGTGTGTGTCTAGTGAATGAGTAAATGTGGGTGGCTTAACTCAGAAAAGTGTTAGAGGTTTTTTCTCCCAGACCAAACGAGAACAGATCAAATACAATGTTCATCTTATACAGTCACGTTCCCCTTGGGTGGCTAGAGGCTGCAAAGCTTTAATCTTTCTCTCTGTTTGTGTGTGAGTGTGGAGTACCGTGGGTGTGTGTGTGTTTTCCCTGCTCATGTGTGCATCGTGGATTTATCTGCACTGTGGTGTATTCGTGCGTGTGCATGACTGTTTAAGCATATCCAACAGCGTTTTGAAGACATGAAAAAGAAATGAGAGCTCGATTTCTGATGCGAGTGAGAAAACTGGATTCCGATAATTCCTGTGGTCATTGTGAACACTGCATACACATTTTAGAAATATGCCTCTTATATAAAGTTTAAAGAATCATAGTGAGTTACTAATAATAATTTAAGTTTTAGCCAAGCTCTCATGGCTCTAGGGATGGCAATGTCAGTCTGTGGGTTGATCCACCACTTTGGTCCAGACTGAAATGTCTCATGACACCACAATAATTTAGCTCCCTTGACCTTTCCTCTAGCATCACCGTTAGGTTCACATTTGTGGTTTTGAGTGAAAACAACTCTTGGATGAAATTTATTGCGCATTATTACGTGCCCCTCAGGATGAACTGTAATAACTTTGTTCATCCATTTTACATCAACATTTAAATTTGTCTGTTACGTTTTTTTTTTATGACCAATTACTTGCAAAACTAATGACCATCAGAATCAACTAAGCTAATTAACAAATGCAACAATGCTAACACACTAAACTGAGATGGTTAGCATTATACTTAAACTTCATCATGTTAAAATAGTCACTGTGGACATGTTAGCATCCTGATGGTGGTAATAGATATTTATTCACCAAAATATTTTCAGAAGATTTTTAATACAAAGCTCATTTCATTGCACGTGTATTTAACAATCTGGTATTTTGTCCAAATCCATTTCCATGTTTCCCAGTAACACTTACAGTCCATAAACAGTGGCAAATAAACCAGGCCATTCCCAGACCATTTTGTATGTTTATTAAATCTCCCTTTCTGTTTCCTGGCTTGCACCATTAACTATTGTTCAGCATTGCAAAATAATTTTCTCCATATCCTTATTGAGCAGTAGCCTTTAATGTCTGTAATTCTCAGAATGCTTGTTAACACAGAGAGCCAGCTAATGGTCCTGGAGAGCACTAGCACATCTATTAACATTAGCGAAAAAACTAATTGGCGAGATAATAAGCCCGGTGGCAGGAAATGAGACAGTGTTTGTGTGGGGCGTTGATCACAACACAAACATTACCAGAGGGCCTAACAGTATGTTTTTATTTGTCTGCAGATGCAAGTATAAGCAACTGGCTATTTGTAACCATACTCAATGTGTTGTATAGGAAAACAACAAAACAGAACCGAAAACGGTTTAAATTAAAAAATCAACCACAAAACTCATTCAAAACTTAACCTCCACCAAGGTTACACTATTGTCTAGAGGTGTTATTTTAGTAAGACTATTTTTATTAAGTTAACACACAAAATGGAATATACATAATTAAAGAATCGTTGAATACATGCCCTTGTAATGTTAACAGACCTATACTGCACAAAAACAAAGTTTTTCTTGGCCCATTGCTCAACTTTACCACCTAATTTCATTGAAACATTTAAAAACATTTGGTCAACTACAACTATTGTACTCCACTTTTTTTATCCCATTTTCTGTTTGGTTATATGACACATAATCTGTGAAAAAATCTGGTTCCTCGGTTCCTCCTTATGCTCTTAATGGTATTTACTAAATGAAATCGACCAATCAGAGCCAAGAATTGATTGTTGAATGTCATTCAGGCAGACAAATACCGATGCTGGTAATGAGACTCAAAAATCTTTCTCAGACATTTAAAAAAAAAAAGTTACCCCCTGAAGCTTTACAACTACCACCCTAAACAGATTTTAATATTGATCAGCTTCTAAGATTAAAATAAACAACAGCTTTTCTCTAGGGCATTCTGTTTGTTCAATAAACCTATGGGGAGAAATTAATACAAGATGCAGATACCTTTTTTTTTTTTTACAAACAGCAGCCTACATTGGGGATCTCCAAAAATAGTTGGTGAGTGGAAAATCAGGGCTATAATCACGTATGAACTAACTTATGTGAACTGGGCATAAGGCATTACAGCCATAGGAAATGTCTGAGTAACATTTCTTCTAACTAACCTACAACGTTCGCTTGCTCTAAAATGTGTCCACCACAGACTGACTTTGAATACTGTTCAAAGTCATTCTGGCAAATTTAGGATTTTTTAAACTATGGTAAACCAGACAGTTTGTAAACATTTCCTTTAAGCAGGAATTCAACTTTTGTTTAGATGCTGTACTTACCTAGAACCGTCAGGTAGGCTTTGGCTGTTCTGACGGGCATGGTGAAGAGAGAACAGGTGTACATGCCTTCATCAGACAGCGTGACGTCACTGATACTGATGGTCAGCTCCGACCAAGATGCATGTACCAGCTCAATCCTGTTGTCCCTTAAAGCTGGACAGAGAGACAGACAGACGGCGAGTTAGCAAACGTTACAAACTGTTTTAATGCCAGAACCGTTTGAGTGATGAGAGTTATCTTAGCAGTGCTGCTGGAAGCAAACTTCCACAATATGATCAGAATGTCATGATTTGCAGGCACAATTATTTGATACAGTGTATATTAGAAACGGTTTAATTGACTCCCTTTCTCGTGTGCTCTTCATTTGACAAAACTGGTTTATATTATGTCTGTATATTGCATTAATAGCTCCTCTTCTGTGTTTTACATTTGGGTAAAGCAGAAACCGTGTTGAGCCTGATGACCATTCTAGAAATGTATGTATATTTGGGGAACACTATCCATACACACAGTCAAATAGACAGACAGAAAGAGACGCAGAGTAGAGGAGGCACACTGAGAGACATTAACAAATGTGAGATGGCAGCAGCGGGAAGCAGCAAAAAAGGAAAGAGAGATCAGGTATCTTAATATTTTGCTGTCCCTCTATTATATGATGCTGAACATGTCCATATTGTTGACAAAACCAACAGCAGAGTGCCATCTCAACTGTACACACATTAGTCTTATCCAACCGTAACACTACAAACATGCCAGAAAGAACACAGCAAAGCTCCAAAAAATGTTTTTTTTTAAATGGACAGCTTCTGGCTTTTGGCATTATTTACAGTCGAGCTAATTGAACTGTTCAAAACTTCAGCTGTTTGCACAAGGATATACAATTTTGCCTATTCATTTTGAAATGCTAAACTTAATGGTATGCTTGTTGCCATTGCAAAAAGGTGTAAGGGTCATTTACATTGTTTACTACTTAGAAAGAAAAATAGCACTAGCCATGTCAAGCTGTGTAGTGTATGAATAGATTTATTTGCATAAACAATCAAACCTCCTATTGAAATGTGACCTCAAAACTGAACTTTCTGTTGAGTCTGAAAATGAATGCATCAGTATGTCTCTACAGTAAACCATACTCATACAGTGTTCTGTGCTGGAAACCCTCATAGACATTTTACTTATATGAAAATGTAATCTTCCAAAAGACATAACTGGAATGGAAATCAATACTGCAATAACAGGCTGAGAAAGAGGCCTAATGAGAATTTGGCAAGATATGAGAGTTGAAATAGATCTGCTGAAATTGGATGGCTTGTTGAAAGATACTCCATGGTCTTCAAAGTAGACTTCATATCTGCGTTACAGTGGGAGCATGCACTACGTTTTTGAATTACATGATTCATGTCAGTTAAATCCAAGGGGTTTATTGTGATATACTAAACAAAATTATGCAAAAGACTGGTTTTCACATTGAAAATGGACCATGTGGATTGTTGAATGTAATTGTCAAACATTTCTTTCATTCTGTTTTGGTGGCCTTGGCTGCTCAAGAGATTAATTCAAGCCTTCTTTTGCAAGTACAACGCCTTTCTACAAACCTTATTTAATATGAGCAGCCAAGGTTACTTTGCTTTCACTCTCCATCAAAGTGACTTGGTGCACACCTCGTTCAAGTGCATGGTGTCTGTGTATGTTCGCGTGTGTGACTGCATGTTTGAGTTCAGCACAAAAAAGGCATGACTATTTGTGTACAGGTGTTTATATTTTCTTTCATGTGAGGCTACATGAAAGAATATTCTTATCTTATGGTAATTTGTGAGAAATCATATAAAAAGTAGAGCGCCCTGGTTTGGTAACCTCTCTACAAAGATCTGAAGAGTAAAGACCATTAGACAGTCTGTTTGTAGAGTACTTTAAAGAGTGTCTGGCTGAATGGTGAGAAACGATACCCAAGGTATCTGAAGTACTGAAACTGTGTTTCAACATCCTAAAGCTTTAAGCCAACATTTAAAAAAGTAATATTTATTTCCCATATACCTTAACCTTCCCTAACCCACACAAATCTAGTTTTTCTGAACTACAATGCAAATCTTACAGATTCCCTCCAGACAAGGATAAAAATACAGTATATATAAAAATAATCTGCTTGGAACAATAAGGGGTCTGATATGTTTTTTCTGCAATTTCCACATTGAAATCCTTAAAAGGGCATCTACTTCTTCTACCTCAATAAAAATGCCAGAATCTATGAATATGCAAATTTGGTTAATTTCTAAAGTTTTCCTGCTGGACATAATATGTCTTCTACTTCACTGTTAAGTCCATTCAGTGTATGTGCACTGCTGGCTTCAAGTTTCTACATCACACTTGTATAGGTTGCATACTGGACCAGATTTTGTTTTCCAAACTATCTGTGATGTCACAAATCATGCTCAATTAGGGTAACAATCAATGATCCTGTAGCCAAGAGAGCTCAGTGCCATAGTATTTGGTTGTGGTTGTTTGTATGTGCAGTGTGTTTGTGTGTGTGTTTTCTGAAATTGCAGGGTGTTGAGATCTCTCAGCCACCTTTGGAAAGGGCTTTTTTCGAACATAGTACAGATTACATTACATACAATTCTTTACTGGGATGTTTCTATCATCAACTCCCATACCATCGTATTATTGTTTACTTCAGTCCATATCACATTTTTATACTTTTTATATAAGTTTAAAATGTCATTTGTGGCAATTCGTTGTACCGTCAGAGTCTTACGTTTGATTGACTGAATCAATGCCAACTGCTACAGTATCAGCTGTGTTTTCACCCACTTACGGCTGTAATTTGTCAGTCACTGGTAAATGTCTAGCCCTTGAGGTGACTCTGAAAGAAGGTGTTAGGCACATGCAGTGCATTCTTTTTACAGCTCCTGTATATGCATTGCTGCAATGATCACAGAACTGACAAATGTAGAGAAATGTCAGTGAGCACACAATCTCGTGTCATTTTGTCTGCCAAGGGATGGATAGCTTTTCTTTGCCGGCTCCAGGCTAAACACCTTGCAGTAAATTGCAGTAGAGTTGTAATCAGTTTGGCTAAACGACAGCTGCTCTCTCTCATTTATTACTGCATTTGTTCTGTACCTTCCCTTCCCTCGCAATACCGGTTATCTCTACATGCTGTGTACCGAGCCTGAGCAGGCGTGACACGTTGATATGAGCACATGACATATCTTTAGGTTTGGCGCTGGTGACAGTAGATTCCTGTTTCTGTGTATGAATACACATGGCCATCAATGCAAGACCACCGAATTAGATTTAGTCTAACGCACTGCCAGTTCGGTTAATGGTGAGACCTGTCCTGAAAAGATAGTTGCTCATGTTCATGCAGTATGTATACACACACATGTGTACACCTTGTCTCATCAAAGAATAAACTAAGACAAAGAATAGATTATTTGGACTTATTCTAGACAAAGAATAAATTATCTTTTCCTCAGTATATCTTTCTGTCATTCTTTCAGTTTCTCTCCTTCCTCCTACCCCCACAGACCTCATTCTGTCGACTCAGGCAGCTCCACTAACCTGTGAATGTGTACAAGTTAAACAATGCTTCTTTTCAACTGTTGTCTTATTTGCTTTGGGCAAGGAAGTATGAGCAGGCAAATGTCAGAAAATACAGTTACTGTTGCTGGCTTGCTAGCTGTCGCGATGCAGCTCTGCTTTCTTCCTCCCCTCCTCAACAGCCCATTCTGGGAAGTTGTTTGTGTGAGGAATTGGATAGATAGATAGTTGTTGGAAAAGTGTACAGAATATTCTAACTTTTTGGTCTGCTTAAGCCGAGTAATTTGAACAGTGACTTGAAGTGACATTGCATTCACATTTATGAGAGGGCCTAACTGTAACGTGATCAGGCTGCAGCAACCTGCTCGAATAACTGATAATATCACAATCATCAATGTGAACACAGGCAATAATTTATATACTCCAGTTTTAGAAAATCTGAAGATACAGAATGTGGATTATTAATTGAATCATGGTTAAAGTATCGTTTCTGCATTTTCCAGTGGTTACAGGCGGAGATCAGGACAGTGTAGATGCCAAAAAGAAAGATCATCCTGATCCCCCTGGAAGGCTGGATTCAGGCTGGATTTACAAACATGAAAGGTGTCATTTATTACCATGAAATCATGGTAAAATTGGTAAGGATACTATAATGTAGTCATAAATACAGATTTTTTATTTTTATTTTAATTAGCAAATCCTAACAAATATTCCTGTTCCCTCTTTGATTATTTCCTCCATCTCTGACTTTTGTCTTAAAACTCACAGTTGTGCTAGTTTTAGAGCCTGTTTGTCTCATTTATAACATCCTGATCACTGAACATTATTAAATACATTTCATTTTGAATTTAAATACACTTGATGCAAATGCAGACAATACAGCTTAAATTGGAGATCCTAAAGACCATTAATATACAATAATAATAAAGTAGTGAACACACACACACACACACACACACACACACACACACACACACCCACTGACTCACTGTTTTTAAAAAATTCTCTTATAAATGTATAACATCCTCCATCTTTTTTTTCTATTTTTCCCTCACACTTTCCTTCTCCCTTGCAATGTAACCTCTGATTTCTCATTCTATGCCCAGTGAAAGGCTGGATATCGACAGAGAGAGACAGAGTAGAGGTGAGGAATGTATCCGTTGCTATTTGTCTGTGAAGGTGCTGCAGCTGCCCGCCATCCATTAGAGACCATTAGAGCAGACAGTCCTGAATTTTGTTCATGGCAGACAGTTGTTGTTGTCAACATCAAAGAGCGGTGTATTTGTATTCCACAATAACTACTTACTGAATCTACAACCATATTTTTTCTCATTTAATCTCTCTCTGCATATAGAAAAAAGAAAGAAAGAGAGACAGAAAGCAAAGCTGTGAGATAGTTGTGTTTTATACATTTGATTGCCTTTATCTCAGCAGAACTAACACAGAGTAACTTGAGACGTGACAATTATGAGTTTGCTAAAGCAGTTGTGGTTTGATATTCAGGAACCAAGTGGGGGCGGAAAGATTTCTCATCTTATTACGAGCGCTGATGACCGTCGGCTCAGATGAGCCATCCGTGTTGAGTCTCCCCTGAATGCAGCCGTGACTGATCAGAT